CTATGTGCAGCACTCTGCACAGTTTCTGGCACACAGTAAATACTTAATGAATGTTAGCAGAAAGAATAAATGAAAGAGAACAAGAACCCAGGAAGCGTGATGAGTAGCTAACTGGTCTAGCTACAATTTAACTCCTGAAATCTCTTGTCAATGTGTTTATATCTTTGTACAACTGTTTGATTTCCTTATACAGCAGAACTCTCTTATAACTTCCAATCATAGATTAGGACTAACTTTTGTGCTATATGAGTATATGAGACATGTAAGATCCAAAGTATATCGGCGTACAAGAAATAAGTCCTTATATTCTGGTTCCTCTCCTTCCACATTTCTGTGATTATATCTCACCCTGTTTCTTTCCTTTAAGTTTTGCCCATCCTATTGTAAACATCCCAGGTACAGTGAGTATATTATTTGCTTACCCTATAAACCTGCAAAGTGCCTAATACAAGATACAGATTGTAATCCTGACACTTGTTACTGACAATTATTTTGCAAATTGGACTTTCTGACATTTAAAAAAAGTGGGCGGGGAGGGGTGAATCTAATACAAAGTCAAAAGCATCTAGCTATGCAGCAGGTATTTGAAAGAAATTTTCTGTAGTCATTGTGTTTGTGTGTGTGTGTGTGTGTGTGTGTGTGTCTGTAAAATTAGAAACAGTACCTTGTCTGAGACCCAACAGATATAAGAGGATGAATAAAATCTGTGTTTGAGTATGTGCAATCATGCACAAGAACAGTATTAAGCAGCTTCAAAGGCTCATTCAAACAATGCTATGTGCCAAGCATTATACCAAATTCTGGAGAAAACAGAAATAAGGAGATGAGGTTCATCGAACTGGAAAGCAAACTGGGATCTAGAGAGTCTGCAGGCTGTTATTTCCTTATCCTTCTCTAAAGTCTCTCTGGGTTCTCCAACAAACTCAATCTCGTTGTTAGCCTCTATGCTGGTTCCTCTTTCACTAACCCTCTAAATCAGTGGTTCTCAAAGCGTGGTCCTGGGAATAACAACATCAGCATCACCTGAGAACCTGTTCAAAATGCAAATTCAGGAGCCACACCCAGACCTACGGAATCAGAAACTTTGGGGGTGGGACTCAGAAATCTGTGTTTTACCAAAGCCTCCAGGTATTTCTGATGCATGCTCAAGTTTGAGAAACCATCTAAGTTTGATTTAAGTGCTGATTTCCAAAAATTCCACTCCTTGCCCTTTCCAGTTCTCACTCTCAACTTTTCTGCATAGGAATATCTTTTCTTCTACTACCTCTGCAACTGTAACTATTACTACTACTAATAGCAACAGCTGTCATTTATTAAGCATATATCAGCTAGGCATTGTGCTAACTGCTGTGCACATACCATCTTAATCTTCACAACAATTCTTTAAAATATTATTAACCCCACTTTTCAGAAGAAACTTAGGTTCAGAGATGCTAAATTACTTGCCCAAGGTTACCCATCCCAACCAATAGTGGCATAACAGAGATTTGACTTCAGGTTTTCCTGACTCCAAAGTCCACAGCATTAATTACTATACTAAGTCCTAGAATGGTCCTACTTCCATAGCCTTGGAGGCTGTCAGTTACATTACAATTATTCCTAAACTGTCTCATAAACGCTGGAGTAGAATTTCTAGTTACCTAATGGGCCTCTCTAAACTCAACACATGGGCCTTAAAATTAACATGCCATCATTTCTTCCCTCCACTGTAAATCTATTCCTCCTCCTGTGTTTTCTAATTTAATGTCCTCATAATCCCCAGTTACTCGAGCTGGACATGTCACCTTTGACTTCTCACTCTCTCTCACCTCTAGCTGTTCATAACATTTAGAGATTTTTAACATCTAAAATATCTTTACAAGCCATCCATTCCCACTGTCCCTCTTCAAGGTCCCAGCATCTCTCACTTACATCCTAACTGGTCTCCTGCCCTCGCGGCTCTAATGCAGTTCTGCATATGAACTGCCCGTTAACTTTCTGATCTGATTATTCTACCTTTCAAGGTTCTCTATCACCAACACAGGGGTAGTGTTGGAAGGAGGGAGACTAGGCTTTTTAGAATGGAAGACCCCCTTATAATTTGGCTCCAACCATACCTTTCCTGTCTCATCACTTCTGCCATACAAGAAGCCTACAAAAAACTCAAGGTTTTCCCATTCACTTTTAATCTTCGGCAATTTTGCTTATACTCTCCCCTCTGGCGGGAATGATTTTCCTTTTTCCATGTAGCAAAATACTAGTTAACCTTCAGGGCTAAGTTCCACCGTCTTCTTTTTAAAGTTTTCCCTGACTCTATCAATTTATTTCCCCAGCCCAAGTGATCTATTCCTTCAGCAATTTATTCATTCCAAAAGTGGTGAACTCTTATCACAGCACATCATGGTTAGTGTTTGTCCCCTCTGATGAACACTTGGTATCTCAGGTATACTGTGTTTTATTCTTTGTCTTGCTGGCACCCAACACAGTGCCTAGCCATAGCCAGAACCCAATAAATATTTGCTGAGTTGTTAAACAACATTTGGTGTGGCAACATTACACAGGTTAGCAATTCAAGTTCAGGTTTATGCAACACTCAAAAGAAAGCTCACATAACAACAAAAGATAAAGACTAACGGTTCAATATTTAAGAGCAGCATCTTTAATTTTCTCAAATCTTTTTGTCAACATTTTTGAGTATCCTTCTTCAAATAGACTCCTTTCCCAGCTAACATTATTTTTATTTTGTACAGGATCAGCAGTAATTACAAACCTCAGACCACTATAAGAGATAATCCCAAGCAAAACTGTGTCACTGAGAGTAGCTCGATAATTGCTTTGGGTACATCATTTCAGTAAATTTCCAATGGAACGGCCCAAGCACATAGGTAGATTTTAGAAATGAGGACATGCGCTGCTGACTAAATACATAAGATACACGCACTTTAGTGAGGCATTTATTCAAATTAGTACTGAAATCAGAGGTATACAACAACCTGATTTTGGTTCAACGATAATATCCTTTCATTTTAAGTAAGGATAACACTTATGATTGTTTAAGACTCTACTCTGAGTAACACAACTCCCATCCCTCCAGGAAAGTAGGCTCCATCTTGTTATCAGTGGGATGCTAATGAGCCTGCCTTAGTCTTAACACTTTCCCTCCCCAACCTACTAAACCTTATCTCTCCAATTTTTCCCTCTCATGGTACAGGTAAGTTGCCGCAATATATCCCTCAATGACCAAATTCACACTATTTTCTCAACATATGACTTACCTCTTCTCTAACAGAAATTTTACACTTCTTTCAAAGATGAGACGAAATCTTACCTCTTCTGAAGAGTTCACTAATTCAGCCCACAAGTCTTATCTTTTCTAAATTTCTACTGCACTTAAAGTATAGCACTTCACATAGCACCTGTTTACATATTACCTCATTTGGTTTCATAATTATTTTATATAATATACTTTATTTTCCTAGCTAGACTGTTTGCCCTTAAAAGAAAAAAGCCAGGTCTTTTATGTCATTTGTAATCCCACAGTCCTCCTCTCATATGCAGCATAATACTAGGAAGAGGGGGCACATGTGTTAACTACTTGAAGGACTGAGCTAACTGCGTGTTATGACTTATCCACGATGTCACATATAATAAATATCTATTCCGTGCCTACTCTGTGGCAGGCACTTTTGTAGGTACTGGAGATATGGCCCTGAAGAAAACAAACGTGATTCCTGTCCTAAAAGCTATTATAGTCTAGAGCGCAAAAGATACTGAATTCCGAGTACTCTAAGTGCTACAGAGCAAGGTTATCACTGGTTCCAAGACGTAAGAACCTCAAACAACATACTTTACAGATCCTCAGTTATGAAACTGAATCACAGAATTTTAGATCCGAATGAGAAGTTACAAGTTATTTTCTTCAATTTTCTTGCACAAATCATGATTAAATTTCGGTATAGCCTGTCTTTCTACCGTTTCTAGGCACTGCCTTCATTAACGGTCAGAAAAGACTGACTTTCTTCCTACCTCTGATACTCCTTTCTCCCGAGCATGGTCACTACTTCAGCCACACATCTACCCACTAGGGAGTCCAGAGCACTGAGAAGAAAGCACTGGGCTGATGATCAGCTGCACCCAATTAGGCTTGTCTGACCATCGACATTTTCCCAGCTCACACGCTGAACAAAATCTGTATTTTCTGCTTACTAAATAGCAAGCCTGTGCTACTTTTAAGAAAAAGAAAAACCGGTGCCTCCACACTTCCTCGGCCCTAATAACGACAGAAGCACAACATGGTTTAGGTAAACAAAACAGCTGATGTGAGTCTATGAGGAAGAACTGAGGATGGCTAGCCGCCCCTTGGCCGCAAAACCTGTAGCAACAATGTGATAAAATGCTTAGGGCCGACAAAGTTTTGGGGCGTGCATTAAGCACGTGCGCACACACACGAAGTTGGAAACACTGACAACAGGTGGGCCGCCCCCTCTGTACACTGACAGATCGCCTTCTCCAGGTCGTGGGTGTGTCTGACGCCGCACGCAGGCACTGATTCACAACTCCCTCCATAACAACCAGCCCCGCCTCACAGCCCAGCCAGGGCAGGGGCGTTGAGGGCCCCAGCAGTGCCAAACTTTCCGGACCCCAACCTCGGCGTCCCCGGTTCCGCCTCGTCTCTGTCTCGCGCCAGCTCTTCTCAGGCAGGATGCGAGGCTGCTCTACGAACCGGGCTTCTCGGAATTCCGACTCCTCGGCCTGGGAGCCTGGCAGAGCCACCCCGAGGTCCCCAAACACCTCCTTCCTACAACACATTCCAGGACTAGAGAGACTTCGCCGGCCAGCTGCTGCCGCTTCCCACAGCGACCGAGCCCAGGAACTGAGCCTCGTCAGCCCCCGTCCCCGCTCCTTCACCGACCCGGGAGAAAGCGGCCGAGGAGCGTGAAGGGGCGCGCGTCCCCGCGCCCCGGGCCCGCGCAGCAGGTGCGGCCAGGCCCCACCTCCCTGGCGAGGCCGCGGCTACTCACCCCCACGAAGTTCCTCTGCGACCTCACCGCCCGCACAGACGCCTCTTCCGCCCGCTCCGCACCCACCTCGTAGCGACCGCCCCCTCGGCCCCTGCCGTCTCCGCCGTCCTCGCCGCCGCCGCGGCGCGCGTCCGCTCTCACGCACACCGCCGTGGCCGCGCACGCGCCTCTGCGCGCTGGCGTCACGTAGCAACCGATCACTGGCGGGCAAGCGGGAACCGCGGATTTAGGGCCGGGAGGTCGGGTCCCGCGGGTTTTGCGGCTTTCCCCCACCAGCCCGATCCGCTGCCCTCCTGAGCAGGGGGCCCCAGGGTGTGGCTGCCCTGCCGGCACCTAGCTCCGGGTAAGTTACGTCACTCTACGTCACTGTATGGCTTCACCGATCGCGTCACTGTAAATGGAAAGCTCCCCGCCGTGATCGCCCGGGCGCCTGTGGTGAAGGCAGCAGTGACCTAGTCCAGACTCGCGCGGACCCCATCGGCTACTTCTGCGAAGTGCAGGAAGGTTCTCCAGGGACTGGGACCAGAAGGGGCTGAGCGCGCGGTTAATGTGTAAGGCTGCTGAATGACACTCGTTAACTCAGCAGCAGCGTGTGATGGACCGGGCCTTGAATTCCTCTGTTTCCTCATTTTATAAATGAGGATAACAATACCTATCTTTACTACGTTGAAGAATTGTACCGCTAAAAGAAAATAATGTATGCAAAGGTGCTTTTTAAAGTATGAAGCTCACTAGACCTTAAAATATCTTTATTATAAGAGAAGGCAGTCGAGCAAGAGCAGTTAAGAGCATGGACTTTGGAGTCAGGGAAACCTAGGTTCAAGTCTGATCTTGGATGTTGGACAGTCAATTCTGCTTGACGCTTGGGCGAACTGGAGGTCCACTGGGGTGTGGGGATTTGGAGAGAGTGACTGGAAAGGACGTAATTCCAGCCAAAGGAAGCTTCATGAGTAAAGGTATGGAAGTGACAATAGGAAGAACAAAGCTTGAGGCAGGCAGATCAGTTATGAGGCCATTGCTGTACCCCAGGTAAGAAGAGATCAGAGCCTTAACCAAAGCTTTGGCAGTGGGAGTGTAGAGGAAGGGATAGATGTGAGCGCTGTTAAGGTGGTAGAATTGACAGCGCTGAGTTAGGGATAAATAAGTAAGCCAAGTTTCTAGCACGGGTGCTGGGGTAGGTGGTGGAAACATTTAACAAAATGTGAATAAAAATGAGTCTGGGTTATCCACAAGTTTCTGATCCAGCGTATTAGATAGTGCTGGTGACAGTCCCAGGAGGATGGTTGGATTTCTGGAAAATGATGGTGTGTTCAAAAATGGATATGTTTGTTGGGGAAACACTTATTCTCCACTCATGATGTTTCCTTCCACACAGAGTAACATCTGTTAATAAAATATATAATATATATAATATGATATTGGCCTCTCACTGCACCTGCCCCAGCTCACTCCTCCCTAGAGCAGTGACTTCCTAATTGGTGAATTTAAAAGGAGAAATGGGACAGGTGTAGCCCATCCCATCACTTTCCTCTTAAAGGAAAGCTTCTGTCAGGGAACTATCTTTGTGTTCTTTTCTGATTCACCAGGAGCAGGGCCTAGGGGTGGGAATGAGGGTGCCTGGTCCAGGACTACAAAGTTAGTAAGCCTATTTAATACCAGAGTTTCGCATTAGGAAGCTCTCTGTCCACAGGTAATATTCAATACTAATTTTGTCAGTTGTAGTATACAGAATTATGGCTCCTGAAAGATTTTCATGTCCTAATCTCCAAAACCTGTGAATGTTACCTTACAGGGCAAGAGGGACTTTGCAGGTGTGTTAAATTAAGTATCTTGAGGTGGGGAGATTGTCTTGGATTATCTGGCTGGACTGGAGGCAGGAGGGTCAGAGAATGAGATATGATGATGGAAGCAGAGGTCAGAGAGAAAGATTTTAAGAATCTGTGCTGCTGGTTTTGAAGATGGAGCCAAGGAATGCAGGCAGCTTTTAGAAGCTGGAAAAGGTAAGGAAACACATTCTGCCCTAAAGCCCCAGGAGAGAACGCAGCTCTGCCAATGCCTTGATTTTAGAATGTCTGACCTCCAGAACTGTAAGCTAATAAATCTGTGTTGTTTTAAGCCACTAATTTTGTGGTAATTTGTTACAACAGCAATAGAAAATGAATACATCCAGTAACAAAGATGATAGTTGGTCCCCTGCTGCATTCTCTTTTATCTAGAAAAAAGGGTGCAATTTATTAAGCTCCCTCAAAGACTACTGCAAGGTGACTGTGACTTGATGAAGAGAACCTTCACATCCAGAGGGAAATATCCAATAAACAGTCGAATTACACAAGTCTGCGAATGAGGAGAGAAGTTGAGTTAAAATAGATTTAGAGGACATTAACTTATATCAATAATTGGTAATTTAAATCCTAGGCATGGATGTGATCAATCAGAAAATATAGAAGAAATGATAAAGAGGACCAAAGGTAGATCCCCGGGAAGGACTCAGTTTAAAAGGCAGTGGCAGGGCTTTCCCTGGTGGCGCAGTGGTTGAGAGTCCGCCTGCTGATGCAGGGGGCAAGGGTTCGTGCCCCGGTCTGGGAGGATCCCGCATGCCGCGGAGTGCCTGGGCCCGTGAGCCATGGCCGCTGAGCCTGCGCGTCCAGAGCCTGTGCTCCGCAACGGGAGAGGCCACAACAGCGAGAGGCCCCGCGTACCGCAAAAAAAAAAAAAAAAA